TCCTACAAAATTTTATAATAAACGATTTGCATATCAAGATCAGATAACCTGATGCGATATTCTGGTTTAATACATAAGATCTTTAACTATTGATTTTGTGTTTATGCAATATAATGATTTGATTGTTATTCTTGATTGTACATTCTCATATGATCAATAAGTATATAATCGCTAAAAAAACTATTTTTTGTTAATATTTTTTTCTTGACTCAATTATCTCGTTCTCTTATTGCAATAATTTTTTCCTATTAAAAAGAAATTCAATTCAAACCCACATAAAGAACTCGCTTGAGTTATCACCATTTGACCTTCATTTGCTCACGATGTTATCATAAGACAGTGTAAGAAAATTGTATTATTTATAAAATGCTGGGTGCAGTGCACTGGTTCTGTGGATACTAATTACACCAAGAAACTAACTTTTCTTAATAAAAATTTTTTTATTTTTATTTCTGTTTTTAAACATATTTAAAGTGCATACGGTAATTGATAAGTTAAACGCACAGATTTTTTAAATGATATTAATAGTCTTTTGAGGTTGAATTACAGCCACCATAATGTCCACCATTACACAAAAAAAAAAAATGATAGTGGTAGTGCCATATTTTTATAACAAAAATTGTTGAAATTATATTAAAGACCAGTGCAAATACTTGAAACTGTTCGAGGCGATGAAAATACAAGACAAGAGCAGCAAATTGAGCCGCTGATATAGCAACTAAAACAGAAGTTCTCTGAGTCAAAATATTCACAGATAAACATTGACTGTAGGCAGATGAGTCATTCATCTTGTACACGCTATTGATAAACAATGGTTCCGGTGAAGATGATGATATGAATATTGAAGAAGGCGAGCCACGGCAAACCAAGACAAGCCAAGCCGCTGAAGTGATTTACATTGATGTCAGTTAGCGGGGGTAAATACAGCTGTGAAGCGGTTAAGACGCCTGCATAGGGAGATTAAAGAGCACTGACAAATTAGGGTGGCGAAGCAAAAGCAACAACAATACTTAAAACAAAAACAAAAACAAAAATAATAACAATGAAATGGTTAGATAAAAAGATGACTGAAATAGCTTACGAGGAAGCCACTCAACCTAAGTGTCTACTAAGGTTGATGTGTCGTAAACAATAAAAACAATCGACTGGTATGAAATGAATATGCAGTAAAATTTAACAAAACAATTCATGTATGGAAATATACATGCGCATATACCTACGTATGTATATACGTGTGTATGTAAGCACAATATGAGTAAATAATGATAAGAAAAGCTTAAAACACTGCACTATAGAATGCTAGCTTATTATGTATTCGCATTAGCACTCGTGTTCTACACGCCACGCCATTGTGTAGGTGCATGTGCGGAAAACCGATAGACTGAGGAACTGATGGACTGAGGGACTGAGGGACCGAGGGGCAGACGAATGGCGAAACAATTAACACATTTCGAATTAATTTCAAGTCCAACAAACTGAACCACCCATCGAACGTCAAAGCGTAAAAGTTGTTAGGCAATTTGCGATTCACGACTATTAGCACAAAATCTGTAATTCTCCGAGTTTACTGTTCTACAATTTTTGTTGCTATTTGTCGTTTGTTGTATTTTCGCTAGTTGGCTGTTTGTTGTTGGTTGTTGGGTTGATAATTTAATTATGGGCAGAGTAATGAAATTTAAATATGGAAATGAAAATAAGCTCTATTTGCTATTTTCAGTACCGTGTACCGCGTACCGTCGTGTTGTAATGCTAATGCCCAATGCACCAACAAATTCGATAAGAATAGCACAACAAGAGCAACAAAAACATGCGTAATCATTGTGTTTATGTAATTGTGGGGCATAAGCACATTTTAGATTATTTGGGAGCCTACAATAGATCTCATCAGCAAAAAAAATAAAGCCTAAAAGAACAATTGCATGTAATGAGTGTGTGATTTTGTGATTCTGTGTAGGGTTGTAGGAAATTTTTTTATACAAGCTGCCCTTAGCATTTCTTAGAAGTAAATTTAAACAAAATTATGATAATATTCACTTTACTCTATAAAAAGAGTACAACAAGAACTGTGTATCTGCAATTATTACGCTTAATTTGAATTTTAATTAAGGTGGTACATATAAGCCAAGCACGCTTTTGAGATATTTTTCCTCAAAAAATGAATTAATGTACGTTTACAAGTGACTAGGCATGCAGCAATGTTTGCATGTTTATCCCATAACTTATGTCGTGTTGTTAATTTTGTATATTTTATGTCTACAGGAATGAATGCCTTAAGAACTTGAAAAATCAGTTAAAGGCACGTACGTGGAAGAATTATCACCAAAACCTCAGCATATCGATCCAAAAGTGTTGCCTTTGCCTATTCATCAACAATAAGCAGAACAAGCAGAAATGTTATGTTTACTCGCAAATACTATGTTAATAACATGCACATGACATTACTCGTACAGCATACACTGTTAATGTTCTGTTAGAGTTATGAAGTCATTCAGGCGCTGAATATCTGACTGAACTAATAAACTTTGCAGTCAGATTGTTTTATTAATTTGAACTTACTTTATTTTGTTTGGAGATGTGTTTATTTTTATTTTAATAGACTTCAAAGTACACTAAAAAACTAAAAAAAAATAGGGAAAAAAGTGAAGCATAATTAAATGAAATAGAAGTTCTTATGCACAAATATATTTCATAGTGAAATCGTCAAATTGTTTATACTATTGAAAAATTGCAATGAAAAGTACTATAGCAACATTTTAAGTTACTATTGACTGCTAAACAATTCAAATATTTTGAATCGCTTCACCTGGAGATACACTAAATTAAATCTAAACCCAAACTTTTTTACCCCTTTACCAACTGGTTAATTATGATATAATCGCTATGTCTCGTATTTACTAAACCAAATATGGTACAACTATGAATTACCCATTTTTTTATGAACCACAAATTTATATACGTTTTTGGGAATCTTATATGAACAACATATTATAGCTCAGGGAGTGGAAAGAACAACTTATACTTCTCTAAGAGTACAGAAAATTAACATAATTTGTTGCTTGCTAATATTAATATTTGCATATAAAATTTTTCTCGATTTTGTATGCCTTTTTACAGTCGTGGAAGATTTGTTCTAACATCATTAAAGACTTTCTACAGTGCATTACTCTTAACACTTATTGTAGAAGTTGTGGAACTTACGATAGAAAGAATCAATTAAGCATTTTTTTTGTGACTGCCAACGGTTGACTTCTAGAAGAAACCTGTGTTAAGTTTTTTTTCTCATAAGTTACAGCTGATTAGGGAACCACGCTAGAAGATTGAATCTCCATTCAAATTATTTGTGTTACAGGTGTAGAGAAGATCATACATCACATCTGCTTTGTTTTTACACAGCGCATGCGAAGTGCCGCTTTACAATTCTACGGGGCTCCTTTTTGAGGGTATTGGCCAACTCCAAGACCTCCCAATAAATAGCATTTTAAGTTTTGACAAAGGTGCAAGGTTGTTTTTGAACCTCATAATTTTCCATTATATGTTAACACTAAATGGATTCTTTGGACTGCCGGTATAACCTAAGCTAACGTAGTTAAATATATTTTTATTTCTATTAAGGTTTTATCTCTTAAGGTTTCTTGCAACAAATAAGGAAATAAAACTCCAAAAAATCACCAATTATGGTAAGTGGAATAATATCCGATGAGCTGCTCAACTTCCAGTTTTGAACGTTCTTAAACTTGCCTTATTCCTACAAAAAAAGTTAACATTATTTGCTAACCAACATTTAAGTTGGACATGGACTTCGTAACAATTTTACTAAATTCTTAAAAGGTTTTTGCAGCTTTTAAATTTTTTCAAATATCATCGTATGATAATGCCACGTAGATTTTCTACTTGATCTTTAGCTAAAACATTGTCACCGCCATTTTTCAGAAATGTGCGGCGGCGCATATTTTTATATATAAAAATATATATATATATTTTTATTTCTGACGCTAACATATCGGCTAGTTATATTTCACTTGTGTAAGATAACAAGTTAAATCTAACTAAAATAACAAGTTAAATATAACTAACTTCCACCTCTATACTTCTATTTTAATTGAATCATTTTTATATGTTTTGCTACAATTTCTACACTTCATTTTAAAGATAATATCTAAAATAACCAATTACATAAAAATCACAATAAGTGAAAATTTAAAACCAACTTATCTTCATATCTTGTTTTTGTAATTTTAAACGTAATTCTAAAAATATACCGGTAGAAATCCGAGAAATTCAACTACTAAATAAAAATAGGTCATTAATGAAAATATAGTGTTTATACTTTAGTAGCAAAAACTACTACAATTAATTTAGTTTAACTTTACTTCTTAAAACAACCTTGGGATATATATATATATATTTATTGAACTAGTTTTATAAACACTAGATAGAATCAGATAGATAAAATAATATTGAAGGTATTAGATAGTGCAAAAATATTGAAGGTATTTATATTTTTAATATAGCTTTTTTTTAATATTCCTACGCACTTCATCGAATTTAAATGCAACATTTTTAAATATTGATATATAATTATAAAAAATTAAAAATTAATTAGCCTACGGAACAAATTTTTAATGCATCCCTGGAACTAAATGTAACGAATAACATAGCTTTAACAGCAATATTTAGTTAACAGTAGAGCTCAACATTCTACTCGTTATGAGTACATCATACAACAAATTCTATTTTTCTTAGGATGGGGTGAAGGGCGGTGTCGAACCACTACAGTGGGGTGGAGTTGAAAGCAGGTCATTATTGTGTCAAAGTACAGGAAAACCCGAATTTTGCTCAGGGAAGCAATTATGATGACGACAATGAATTTTGTATATGATTTATTCATATTCAATTTCTAGGACTTGTGTAGATATGCAAAACTGTTTTACATTCAAGTAATTGATAATTAACATATTTTAATTAAAGATAATGAAAGAATAAGTAAAGGGAAAACTTACACTTCTAAAATACGGTCTCCTTTTTTGATGCCTGCTTTTTCGGCAGCACCATTTTCCAGCACAGCGCTTACATGCTGCAACGGTGTACAAAATTTTATAAATAATATTTTTAAGCAAGATTTAGCACATTAATAATTTCACATTTATAATTTCTTGAAACATTCACTAATTGAAACTGATTCAAACCTGCAAAGGAGCGTATAACTCTCCATTGATCGGCCGCAATTGACCGCCCTCGGACACCTGTCCACGCACATTAAAACCAAAACCCGTTTCCGTTTTGTAAATAGTTACGACGCGTGGACCATTTGACGTGGTGGAGGTGGAGTCACCCATTTCAAAAACAATTAATTATAACTTTTGCTAATTTTTTGACTAAAATTTGCGTAACTTCTCACTTTTTTCTTTATATTTTTTGCACTTTTCAATTTGATTACAACAAACGATTTTGCTTCAATTTTTTTAACTTTGCTTTTAATTTCGCAAATTAACTATTTTGTAATTCGTTATCATTATATGGAATATTTCTTAATAATACAGAACAAAAAATAAAACAATTTTTATTTCTTTTGCACCAAACTTTTATTGCACACGAGTGCGAACACAAACGAAATAAAAAGTCAAACTGAAAATTTTTATAACAACATACAAGAGTGACTAGGAGCAACTACCACCAAGAGTATGCCATCTTAAAGTGCATGTTTCAATAGAAGCCGTAAATATTATAAATACAAAACATTTATGCATATTGCATAAGTAATAAAATTGTTATTATCAAATGGTACGCATAACTCATTTGATTTTAATTTATTTTAAAAAAAATTTTTACATATTCTTATTATAAAACCTTTATTGTTGTTAAAACCATTGAATGCAAGGAGTAATTTATTGTACAGCGGCGTTGTATGATACAAAGAAACACACACAAATCATTAATAAATAACAAATGACGTTTCGCACGGAATCGTTTCGGTTATGTGGGATTCATTTCTATATAGTTTTTTTCTATATTAAGAATACTGGCGACAATTCATAAATGTCTCGTAAATTGCATATAAATGCTTAATGTGTCATCCATATATAAAGATAAGAAAATTGCTAAAACGCTGGGTTGTCGGATTGTACAAATTGCTGTGAGTGATAACTCTATTGATATCTTTGGTAATAATTAATAATTGTATAAAATGAAACTCTTAAGTGAAAAATATAAATAATAAGTATTTGACAATACTCGAAACAGCTGTATGGTCAGCCGAAAATTAAATTAATTAAAATAATATAACAATAATCTTTGTTGTTATAGCTCACTAATGTTGGAAAGGAATAATTTTATTTAATTTAATAAATATGGTTTTCTATAAATAATTTTATTTATATTTATATTAAATTTATATTTTATGAATTATATTATCTTTATTTATTTGTATTATTATACATTTGTATTATTTTATTCATATTAAAATGGCAATTGAGTTATAAGACAGTTGATTTGTGCGTTGGAAATTCAAATTAACGACTTTCCAAGGCAATCAATGTTGTTGGACTATGAATAGACTAAGAAAGCTATATCAAATAAATCAATACGCTATAATGAATATTTAAGAATTTTTTTTTAAATTGGCCAACCTTATCATTTTCTTATAAGACTTAATGGATACGTATAAAAGTTATTAGGTTAGCAAGTTATTAGGTTATTAGAATTGTACATATAAAGGTGCATCCACGCGAAAGCGAACGTACGAACTTTTGCAGGTACGATTACCACCAAGCGTTCGCTTTGGTGTGGATGCACTTTTAGAAGTTAGCAATTTCTATATAATAAACAGTTGTTTCTTGAGTAATTTGAGTTGTGTTGAAGTCATCAATTTTGGTGACTTAAGTTATGCCTAACTCATAACTGTGACATCGACCTTTGAAGTTGATGATTCATTCAGTTGTTGTTAATTGACATTTCTGACGTTGATGTATAGAACCCTTAAACTGACATTTACTTTTTAGAATAAGTTTAAAAAAACTCATTTTTCGAAATTCTTCATATTTTTTACTTAAATTAATTACTATACAAACAAATTAATGCTATCTATCTTATAATTAATGTTAATAGCAGACACCAAGAAAATGTGGTGAAAAAGTGGTGGTCTGGACACTAATCGAGAATCACAAGAGCGTGGCTTGAAATGCCAACACTTATTTCCGAAAGTGAATAAGTCTTGCTGAAGAGGAACAAAAAAAAAAAAACAAAGTTAATACAAAGGTGCGTCTAAATTGTAGCAAATATAATAATATTATGTATTGCAATTACAATTGCATTCTGCTTAATAAAATTAATTTAATATATATTAAATAGATGTATATAATAAGCATATATTATAAAAGAATTTTTAAACTTTTCTTTCTTATTAATATTCTTTGGTAGGTTTTTTATACTGATTTTTAGTACTACTTTTAAGTTGTTTTACGTTAGATGGCGCAGAAAACTTCAATATTAACAAAAATATTTTTCATATATTTTTCACGTACTAATAATTATTTAAGTATTGAAAAATTTATACAAAATATTATTAAGATCGTAATACAATTTTATTCAGTTTGTAATTCTAGAAATGATTAATAATATTATTATTCAATATATAACACTGTTTTTGGAGATTATAAACTCTTACTAACACTGGTTAATATCAAGAAACAGAGGAGTTTTGTTTTTATTTTACTTCTTTATTCATTCAACACCAAAATGGCGGAAGCGGCAGATCAATTTGTAAGTGATATTTTTAATTTAATTACGTTTACACGTCGAAAATAAAATTAAAAATATTTTAAAAAATCTATTAAAATTGAAATACGTGTGTGTTAAGAATTCTCTAAGCGTGTGTTTGTATAAAAATGATAATAATTCGTTAACTAAACAAAACAAGTGTTTTCATTCTGCACCCCCACAGTCCACAGTAGCTAGCAGCTGCATAAATTTAAATTCCTACACATAAAAACTGTGTTTTTATTCTTTTTATCATTTTTGCATGGCAAGTGGTTGTGTGTCGTTTTGATTATTATATGAATATAAAGTATATAAGAGTATATAAAAATCTTATAACGTGTTAATCAGAATCCTATAACAACATATAATTTCAACATAATTGCTTCCGCTGCAAAAACTTGTGCTGCCTTTGTTTTCGGTTGATTTCTGAGTGTTTTTCGTGTTGCTTTTCTGCATTGTTTTTGTTGCAATTCAATTTAATGATGTGTTGAAGGGGAAAGTGTTTAAAGGTGTTGGGTGTTGAGCAGCGCAGAGTGTGCGATGTGCGATGCGAATGGCTAAATTAAATAAATTCAGTCAACAATAACGGAAACCGGAATGCTTCAGCGTTTTTCCAACCGACAACAACAAATGCTGCTCTACCTCAAAGTGAAATTTGTTTTTGTGTTGCAACTCGTCTCGTCTTCAGCGAAGCAACTGAAACCTTTTGAAAGCAGAAAAGCAAACCTTTTGTGGATGATATTTACTTTGTAATTAGTGACCTATAAACACAATAACTTAAATAACAAAAATTGAAATAAAGGTGAACAATTTGAATATGATATTTGCGTAGAAATAAGAAGATAAATGAAAATGAATATTAACTAAAATATTAGCAACGATGTCTTCCTGAAATTAATTAATTATTTTTTTTTAATTTATTTGTGTGGTGTGTGTTGCAACCCATCCGCTTTGTTATCAAACAGAAGTTCGAAGTACAATGCAGTTAACTCGTTGCATTCAAATTGCATTTACATACAATTAATATATAAAAATATAATATAAATTATTATATTATTTATTGTTATTGTTATTTATTGTTATTGTTATTTATTTATTAAGCTTTTTCTTATAGTAAATTCAAGTAAAGTAAAGAATTTAATAATTCGTTGAGCAAGTTTGATTTATGCAATACAATATTTTATATAAAATAATTAATCGAATTATATATACTATATGTTCCTTAAATGCTATATATTCAGCTTAATATTTAGAACGTTGGGTACTTTATCAAATGTTTTCAATATAATATGATTGGTGGCACTAATTTTCTTCTTCTGTTAATTTCCAACCTTTTATTTTGCTATCGACAAGGTATATGAGAATTATAAGTTAGACTTAATGCATTACACGGAACAGCGGTTTTAAGTTGTGGTTTCTTTTTTCTTATTCGAGTCGGTGTCAATCAGCACCTGTACTCCATTTTGTGGGTGGATCTCTTTGTGTTTTGTGTGAGAGTTTTATTCTGGTGATTTATTAAACCTTGTTGAATACATAACCGAACCAAGAAATAAGGCATTAATTTTCAATAATAAATAATCTGTCTTTTTCAATATCCTAAATATTTTATACACTTTTAAATGTGTACTGACCTTCCTCAAAAAACTTTTCAATAATCAGAGCAATATCATATGAAACTTTAGAATACCTCACTTTAACCAAAAAAAGTTTAGACTTCCGTCCATTATGAAGGTACAAGTTTGAAATATCTTCCTCCCAATTCATAAGACTTTTAAAAAGATGCGATAAGTCTATAAACTTAAATATGTCCTACAAAATCTTTACTCAATAATATCCCCCCTTTTCTAAGGTAGTAGTAAGTTTCAAAGTTGAAGAGTAGTATTTTAATGCTCAATAATTATTATAGCGTCACTAAGTTTATATTTCTGAAGTACTTTGACAACTTCATATAATATGAGTACTTTTATTAAATAATGTGTATGCGTCAATCTAATATCACTGTTTTCGATATTGATAGTTTTTTCTTGCAGACACGAACTGATAATATAGGACTGAACGCTGTAATATGACCTCTCTAATTAATTTGGTTTTATAAACATTACAACATGGCTACTATTTTATCTAAGATCTCTAGTGTGTTCGTATGTCCAATTCAATTTCTTAATTGATTGTTTTGTTGGATTAACTATGTGTTTCTCTTAAAGAAAAGCTTTTTGTCTTTTATTATAAACTAAGAATTATACTCATAATTCTAGAAATGTTGATAGTATATGGCATATAATGAAGCTATTTCAAAATTGAAAATGTTTATATAGATCTTATTACGGTCATTTTCAGGCCGAACTTTAAATGTATTCGCTAATGTTATCCTTGTAAAATATTAGTATTTTTTCTATACGTCTTCTTTATACATATGTCTTCGTACTATTAATCTTAGTCCGTTAGTTTTTATCTTATTAGTCTTCGTGCTGTTAGACATCGTCCTATAAGTCTTCGTGTTATTAGCCTTTCTCTTTTAGCTGTCAGTTTGCTCTGTAGTTTTCAGTTTAAAGAACATTCAAAACTCTATTTCAGCTCATTATGCGATTTATACTTTATCTCATTATAGAGTAAAAGTGCGTAATAGCACTAACTCAAGAAGAAGAAGAATCAAGAATTTATTGTTTGAAAACGTATTTCAAGTACATTTTTCAGCTTGAGAAATAAAAAAAAAGTCAGTAGTGTCGCGTCTGCAGAATAGAAGTGCTGCGGTATTACAGTTATATTTTGTCACGACCTGTTAAATAAGCAACAAATTATTTTGACAGTAAAAATTTTGAATTTTATGACATTCCTATCTCTATAATATCAGTTCATTACTTA